TGTATGTATGTATGCATGTTTGTATGTATGCATGTATGTATGTATGTATGTATGCATGTTTGTATCTATGCATGCATGCATGTATGTATGTATGTATGTATGTATGTATGCATGTATGCATGTATGTATGTATGTATGTATGTATGTATGTATGTATGTATGTATGTATGTGTGTGTGTAAAGAGAGTGTTTGTCAGGCTCGCTTGGGTCGATTGCAGACAACCCCAAAGCATGGGCCAGCCAAGGAGCTAAACATTTGGAGGTTTTCTCGCGTTTAGGGTTCATGATTCGGATTTCTAGGGTTGAGGTTTGGGGTTGAGGGTTGAAGTTTCAGGGGGAAGGGTTTAGGGTTGAGGGCTTTGCCTTGGAGATATTGTGGGGGAAGAGGGTTTCCAGAATGGACTTGAAGATAAGGTGTACTGTGTCTCACCAACACTGTCAACCATGCAAACTTTTTGTGTACAACTCCACAGCTCAGCGTGCATCGCTCTCAACTTTCAGTCGGGTTCATTGCGATTGTATTGCGACTGCACCCAGACCCCTCAAGGATCCAAAAAATGGACCCCCCCAATATGAACCCATTACTACATTGGGGAAACTAGGGGATTATTAGCGGGCTCCATTTTTGGGATCCTTTGGGGGGTCTGGGTAGATGGTGTGTGTGTGTGTGTGTTGGGTTAGCAACTCAGAGGCCCCTGTCACAATCCGTGTTCACTGCTTGGTACTCAAGCTGGGTTCTGCCCAGGTACAGCATGGGACCGTAAACCCCTAAGCCTAGCCCTAAACCCAGGGGGGATACTGGTTTCAGGCACTCCCAAAGTGTTTGTTTGGCACATTTAGGGCTTGGGGTTTAGGGTTTAGGATTCAGGGTTTAGGGCTTGGGATCCAGAAGCCAGCCACAAGTTCTACATCATGGTTTCTCCAGAGCGCTTTGGCAGCTTTCTGGGCGTCCAGTTTAAGAGTCTGACGTTTGGCACAGCGGGCAAGCCGAAATCGATTTTGGGATTTCTTGGGCTTGTCTGAGGCCAAAGAAGAATCTCAGTTTCTGCGCCAGTGGCGAACGCGGATTCCTGGTTTTTCTTCGTTTACTGCGAACCTTGTCTGTATAAACCCTATATAACGCCATATGTTCCTGAGTTTCCATTGCATTTTCCATGTTCTTTTCCATTTGATTCTTCATTATATGGGGTATATTATCCCTATATACCCCTTTAAGGGGACCTAGGGTTTCCATTTCATTTTCCATTTTCTTTTCCATTTGATTCTCCATTACAACTATTTGAGATTGCCAAGATGAAATAGTTCTCCTGAGCCTCCCAGGAGCACTTCGCCGCCACTCTCATTCAGGACGAGGGGACAGGGCAAATCAGATTGGAACAACAACCCTAAACCCTAAACCCTAAACCTTAAACCCTAAATATAATCTCCACGAATGCGGCTCGAGGAGCAGGAACACTACCGCTTCTGAGCTAACTTGGGGTAGTTGTTAAGGAGCTTAAATTAAGTTACCATTATTATATAGGGTTCAGGGTTTAGGGTTTAAGGAACC